AATCCAGCACATGATTCGTTTCGTACCTGATACACGCCTTTATAGTCCTCCTGTTACGCAGGATGTTTGACGTATTCAAAGCACGCAACTCCTCATATTAGATTCCGTAGATATCTCATGTCTTAGGATCCAATCATGGAACCGCCATATGAGATTCAAGTCATGACGCTAGTCCATGTGACAATCTCAATCGGGTCATTCCAGTATTCCGTTCTCCAACGAATACCTATGATTGTGAACGTATCCAATACCTATGATCATCTATATGATCATCAATCACACATCATACTAGTCTTATTATATCATTATTTCCACAATGATACATGATAGAGAGTTTAGTATTGTTCATATCAATACATGGATTTCATAACATATCAAGTATGCACAATACGTAATGAATCAAACACTCATCTATAAACTCATAGAAAGTGTCAATACATCAAATGTATCCAAGTAAAGCTCGTAAACAGTACATCACAGAGTACTAAACTAACAAGTTACACACGTGCATATACATTTCATTACTTGTAGAATCGGACAACGATTTCATATATATGGCGAATTTAATGTTGTACTAACGATTCTATCGATTACCCACTACATAGTTGCCCAATGTTTAAGAGGTGACAAAGTTACTTCAACATCTTAGATTCGATTCTATTCCTGAAGAATAGGGAACGCAATTCTTGATTGTATAACTAAGGGTGACTCGTGATTCAAGGGATTAAGTGTAGACCTTTTAGTTATTAAAAAAACTATTCTATCGATTACACGAAAACTCATTGCGTAATCCAAATGAATTTAAAACAAATCATGTCGAGAGTTCAAATTACGAAATGGGCTTGTTGAAAATGAAAACTGACATCATGTTTGATCAAATAGCAAATATTGAGTGCTTGACGACGTGTGAAAAGCTTTGTTGACTCTTTCATCTTTATGATATTATCGTATTTGATGTTTCCTCCATAATGTTGTGTTACCAGAGAGATGGGTTTTGAAAATCTAGTGCATATTTAAGTGACGGGGTTTTATTATTACATGTTTTTATGTATATATATATTTTTATATATATATGTAACATATGGGTATATAGAGTTGGTTAGGCTTTAATTTGTTTTATATATTATTATTTTTTTGTTATTAGTGGTGTGCAATATTAATTTTATGTGGGGGATAACCTAGTTTAATTAGGTTGGGCTGTCGTATTATTATCGCCTTTTGACTCTAAGAACTGAAAAAAATCACCATCCTTAAAAGGGGCGGGGGCGGACATATACACAAGCAAAAATTTATGTTCAAGTTAATTAAAAACTAAAATTATATGTATATGTATATGTATATGTATATGTATATGTATATGTATATGTATATGTATATGTATATGTATATGTATATGTATATGTATAGTTACCACAATATATTGCAACAATAAGCAATGAAGAAACGCGACCAAAGTGCTCATATAAATTAATTAAGAAATGGGGATTAGATAATGAAATTACCAAAACAAAGGGAAAAAGGATTGAGATTATATGCAACATATTGGTGTATAAGAATCGGTTAAATAATATAATTTGTTTAAGAAAAAAAGAAGAAGATGCACATGCTTGTATTTGTATATGACAATCTTGGTCACAAATTTTATAATATATATATATATATATATACAATACACACACACACACACATGTTGATGATAATTTAGTATATGACATTAATCTTGGTCATTTGGAGCCTCTTTTCGATAACATATGGTCCTTGTGATGGTGAAGTTTGGTTGGCCGTATACGTAAATTTTACAAGGTTTCCGCAACAATTTTTTTATTTATTTTGTAACCATCAAAATGTGTGGTCCAAGATATAAGATATGATTTGTTATTCGATCTTAGCCGTTAAAATAATTATCGCTCGCAGGATATACACATACATATATATATAATTCGAGGTAGAAAAAAAAAAGATAGATACAAAATAAATAAACAAGTCCATTTTCCTAAAATCAATTAATATTGGCCGACCAAAAACAAAATTATGTTTGTGTTTAATCAGTTGATATATATGGTAACTCCGTTGTATAACCGTTAAGAGTTTAAGATTTCCAAGTTAATTTGATACATGACACGTCACATAGAACCGCGTGATATTCAACGAGAATCTTTGGTTGGGACAGCCTTTTGGTCAACTAGTTGACTTTTACTTTTGAAGTTTTTTGAGTTAAAACCACTAATTTACATCAAATTGCAAATAGAAAATGCTTTTTCACATCTAAGTCAAATTTCAGACAAGCATATATATATATATATATATATGCATGATCCATTGTCAATTCTGTGTATGTTCAAGATTTGTACATAGAGAGAGAGAGAGAGAGAGAGAGAGAGAGAGAGAGAGAGAGAGCAGCTATTGATGGAGTACAAGCACTTCAGCCATCCACATGCCCTGAAACTCGAACAGATCCAGAACCACGAAGGATCAGCTGGTTTTGTCTGCTCGGGCTGTGAATCCGCCATTGCAGGACCTGCATACACTTGTTCTTCCCAAGGATGCAGCTTTTCCCTTCACCAGCAATGCGGTAACGCAGCGCGTGGGATGCAACACCCTTCCCACGCGCTTCATCACCTCACCCTCGTTCCGTACACCACTTACAGTGCAGGTACCTTCCTCTGCAACGCGTGTGGCAGCCATGGAGGAAAAGGGTTTTCCTACTGTTGCCCTTTATGCGACTTCGACCTCCATGGCCGGTGCGCTCTCCTGCCTCAGGTCACGGCCCACCATTCTCATCCTCTGCACAATCTTGTTCTTGTCTTCAACAGCGTTCCTGCCATGGCGTTTACTCAGTTCGGTCTGGGAAACCAGTTGGTATGCAATCTCTGCAATCAACTCATGGACAGTAGGCTTTGGTCGTATAACTGTTATGCTTGTAACTTTCATATACACGCTTCTTGTGCTCTGAATGGGCCGCCGAAGTTAGAGACGGGCACAGAGGGATCAGGATCTGTTGTTGCTTATGAAACAAGCAAGAAGAGCGAGATGACTCAGGAGCCGAGATCTTCACCTGGTGAAGATGCTTCTGAAACAACAGATATCGAAGCAAAGACCGAACCTGGAACTGAATCTGGAGCGGCCCAGATTCAACCCGGGACGACATCTCAAGCGGAAGATCTAGCTCTGAGACGTCGGCTTGAACTGGAACAGCTCAAGCTGCAGATGCAAATGAGCAGTGCACTTGCAAATATGATGGGTTCTTTCAATCTCAGTTCTTTTGTCTGAAGGGTTCGAGAATATCGTATCTGTCTCTGTCAGTTTCTTCTGATCCATTTGTGTTTGCCAATAAGACCTGCAAGGGTAACTTGGGGGCGTGACAGTATCTGTGTTCTGTAGTGAACTTTTGCACCTGTGAAAGTGCTTTGTCTGAACAAAATCTCTGTTTCTGTCTCCTCCTCCTGTCTCTCCCTTCTTACATAGAACAGCATATTCCAAAGATTTTGCCACTGCTACAAAGGATATATTTGAGGAATTGCATAGTTACTATCACATAAACAATGAACAGAATCTATATATATATGCATTCACATCTCATTGTTCTTTCTGCAATTAGGACAACATAAACCAGATCCATATCAAAGCAGTTTGCTCAACCATAACATCTGAAAATACAGAAAACGGGTGCCTAACAAAAAAACACACACCATCCTTCTCCGATTATTCTCCACCATAATGATGGATTGTATTCTTAAGAATCTTTGAAATATTTCTTCAAGATATCAGCTCTGAGAATGAATCTCTTCACCAGAAAGCAAGCAATTTCCACACACTCACTCCCAACTGTAAGGTGGCAAAATGACTGAGTATATCACGGAAGAGGATCCGCGTCCGGGAGGAAACTCAGAGCGATCATTCCAAGAACAAGACCCCTTTTCGGGATATAAGCAAACTCAAGAGCGGGCCTACAGATTCCATAAATGATTCCATCACTCGAAGATCTTTAGTATAATCTTGCAGTTCTCTAGTGCAACATACCTAAAGAGAAACAGATTTTTTGACCTCTGAGTCATGACTGCAAATGGTAGTCAAGAGTGAAGGCGCGGATATCTGAAGGACTACTTCCGGGCCTGAAACGAGCAAATTCATAGAAAATTCGCTTTAAAGATTGGCGGAAAGTTGTGATATAGCTCAATAATCATTGCAGGCAGTGGATGAAAGAATGTTGTTAGTAAGAGCCCGTCATTCCGGTTATAGGAACAAGGACGGTGTTAACATTGGATGCAGACCTTTTATTGATGGTACCATAGTGAAACTTTATTTTTCCATTCCTCACATCTTCCAAGTACTGCAACAAAAAGAAAACAATTGGGATGAACATAAGTTGGAAAATATTGTGAATGAAGAGCGAGTTCTTACCAAGTTTAAGGTTACAAAAATCGATGAAAATGCTAGAGAATCAAAGGGTATCTCGTCCAGTGAAAAAAGACGGCACTCTGATGACTCGGGACCGGGTGCAAAATGCGGGTTCTTCAGCTTCGCCAAGAATATGACGTAAGTCTGCTCCCGAAATAAGCCGTTATCATTACCATGATGAATATAAACCACTATTGATAAAACCCGATAACACCAGACAAAGCAGAAAGGATTAGGAATGAGCCGAGGCATTTTCTATCTTACTTGACCAATGAGAGGAATGTCTAGTTGCGTAAAAGGTGATATAACTTCCACTTCCGCTCCAGCTTCTTCCCAGGTTTCCCTCATTGCTCCTTCTGCAGCTGATTCTCCGATCTCCAAGTAACCCGCAGGAAGAGTCCTGTGTTCGTTGTCATCTATCATCCATATAACTTCCAAAGCTTATACGTAAAAATTCCGTATTGTTTCAGTAAGACACATCTTTACGATCTCAAGATTCAGACAACGATGTGATCATGTTTTGTACGATGCATACCAAAGACCGAACGAAGGTTGAATGTTACGCTTGCAGAGTAAGACCTTCTGTTCATGTTCGATAAGGCAACCTACAACCTGCAGGAAGGAACAGACAAATTCTGCAGCTTATGATTCTGCCATCTTGAGCAAGAGTTACACCTAACAATTGCTAATGAGAGAACAGACAAATTCTTCAGCAATCAATTATAAAGATTGTAGAACAACAAGAACATGATGATGATGATGATGATGATGATGATGTTAATCTGATCCGGGATGAAGGGAAGTACGAAACTTTCGAACAGAAAACAGACCATTTTAGGATTTTGGTACGCAATTGTGCAGCAATGTGTGCAAATAGCTCGCAGCTTCTCCTCCCCATCAGGAACCTCGTGCTTTGTCGGCCCACCACACCATTGACAGAATCTTATCTTACGGACATCACCCTTCAGCAAAAACACCGTGGTTCATCAATACACCCATGTCTAAGCCATGACTCAGCAGTATCCCATCCTCTTGTTCACTCTGCATCGAGACACAAGGAAGAGAGATAGAGAGAGAGACCCAAACTTTCAGGAGATCAAACTCACAGCTGATTGAACCGAGACGGAGGCCGACGAATTGGCAACTGGGTCGAAATCAGAACGTGTCGAGGACATCCGGTTCGGGCCGAAACAGCGGATTCTCCGAGCCGAGACAGAGAGAGGAAAAGGCGAGTTCGAAGGGCAGATAACAGCGGGAAAAACCGAGAAATTGGGGGAGTTCGCCGACGAAGAGATGAAAGAAACGCCGGTGGACTTACGGTGGGTCTTCGTCAATCTCTGAGAGATGATGAGAAAACCCGACGACGAGCCCAGAATCTGGATAGCTCTGAGCATTATACGTAAGCTGATCTTTTTCCCCGTCAAGACCGGATTTTGAAACAGGAACTGGGTTTTGTCGCAACTTCGATGATAGATTCGTGGTCGATGATCAACCGACAAATTACTGTTAAACCAAATCAAACCGATTGTTCATCGACCACACATACTCAGTCAAAAGCTGGTTAACCAAGCATGAAGAAGATCGCATCTTATCCAAATACCAATCTTTTTTTATATATATATATAATCCAAATACCAATTTTATTTCAAGAATCTTGTCCATTTCTTAAAACAGATCTAAAGAAACAAATGTTAAAAATATTGCACCAAGTAAAGATCTCTCTGAGTAAAGCAAAAAATGATGGGATTACGACAAAAACGTACATTGCTGTGAGCTATAAAGGTTACACAGACAGTTTCAGCATTATTTCTATGAGACATCTCTAAGAGACAAAACCTAACTAACTCTTTATCATCTTCTTTGCCTCGAATCCTGAGGGAAGAATCATCATACCCTTTAGTTAATTGATAGCTTATCGCATAAAGATTGATACGCAGCACTGCAGAGCTTGAACTTTTCCTCGGCCACAGCCTGTTTCATCACAACAGATTTGTAACGAAAACTGTCATGAACCAAACCAAGTTCTAACATGTAGAGCCCAACAGAAAACATGGGCAGATGGAAAAAAGAGATGGAGGATGGATAATAATATATGGTACCTTTGCAGGACCCAGATGGCGGTCCGGATGCCATTTCAACGCGCAAGCTCTGTATCTGAGTAAAGTTTAAATGTAAAAGGGTTGAACATATTAGTTGAAAACGGATGATACAATCTAAATTCTACACGTGTTAGCACAAGTAACAGTCTTGAGGTGACACTCACGCGTTTTTAACGTCTTCAAGGAGTAAGGGTCCCGAAGGACTCAGACCGAGCGCTAGTCTATGAGAAGCTTGGCTCGAGTCAGGATCAATGGATTCTGTTGAGGAGTAGCCATCTTCTTCATCGTCTTCTTCTTGTCGGTATCTCGACTTCCATGATCTCCTAAAGTAGCTAGAATACCTAGATGAATGCCTCCATGGGGGCTCCTCCTCTTCGTGGATGAAGGAACAAAAGAAACTCCGAGATCCTCCAAACGCGGAGCGAAAAATGTAATCGATCTCATATTCCTCTCCATCTTCGCAAAAATCAAAATGCCCTACACAATTGAACCCGACATGTGAATAGACATAAGGCTAAACAAAATTAAATCATTCTATTCTACTAGAACAATGACACATTTTTCAACAGCTAAGTAAAGATTCATGCCTTAAGCTAAGTAGAGGACAGAGGGTTCATAAAACATAAGTATAAGGACATTTTATCGCCTTCTTGAGACTACATAAGTCACAAGCCAGGAGTTTGTGGCCATAAACAAGATAAATTGGGAATTAGCATTTTTAGGAGCATGGTCTTGATTATATATGTATTACCAGAATACACCAAAAGATCAATTTTGTTGAAAAGAATCAGAAAGAAAGGGGGTCTTCTTACTTTTACCCCAACTTTGAGGACCATGTTTGCCACCGCGATTCATTTTGGATCCCTTGCCATACTGATTTTTGAACCATGACGCATGCTTACGAGATGATGGATCATCCTCACTAAACTCATCATCCCAACCCTAGAAACATATATTAAAACACCGCTGAGAACTTAACCAGCAGAACAACACCGCCGAAACTAGTGCCATATAGCTATGTGCCCTGTTCTCCGTATAAAGGCATTACTTGAAAGACCAAACTATGTACAAGACAATACCACAGGATACAAACTCAATCTTTCAGTTTCAAGATTTGCCCGTTCAGGAACCAAAACATTCTACCATAGCTGCAGGGTTTCTTGAAAGCACAGTAGAATTTTTATGCATTTCTTGAATTAGCTTCAAGTTCAAGTGTTCTGAAACCGACAAAACAAACAGCCAGGTGAGAGCATACATGACTTACCCCAAACAAGTGTTCTGCAAAAACATTCACATTACGCAGCAAATCTTGTTTTGCCCTCCTCCTTCTGAACCTTTTATTGTATGCATTTGAATTTGATTTCTGTCAACAAAAAAATTGAATGGAAAAGAAGACATGTCCACAAAATCAAACACTACACAAGAAGCTTCTCAAGTTTCAAAATTTATATGCCTTGGAAAAATCCAAGGCATATAAATCATATGCAATAACACGGGAAACTGATATGATATCTACAAAAGCTTGAAGAGATTCAAGTAACACGCCCCTTCTTATCAATCTCCATCATCTTGGAAACCCCACATCTCAAACAGCACAAATCACCGGAAAACACATCTAGGCATCGATCGAATAGCCGAAAACGAAAATTAAGCTCGACCCATGTAGCATCAATCGACGAAAAACAAATGTACAGAATCGTATCGTATCGAGCGACACAGGGAGAGAGAGAGAGAGACTGACGGATTCCCAGAAAGTGCGACGCTTGCGTTCCAATACGGGCGTAGAATGGAAAAGAGCGGTCTGCGTATTAGAGCAGTAGCTTCGCGGTCCTAGAACCGCTGCTCTAATGGCGGCGTTCATGTCTGAAGATCGGAGAATCTCCCCTCCGGAGATTTGTGTTTCGCCGTTCGCCTGAGGCGAAGAAACAAAACAAGCACCCGATGTGAGCGAGTCGTCGCGGGCTTGACTCAGCTGGTCGACCCGCAATAGGGCATAGCTCACCTGCTTTTAACGGCGGTAAAAACAACAAATGACCATTGGCCTAGAGACGAAAACGGGTTAGTGATTTTTTTTCAGCTCTTTTTTTTTTAACTATTCACCGCTAAAATTCTCACCGTAGATTATACAACACAAATAGGTTCCAATAAAATTTCGAATATGTACAAATAAAAATTATTTTATTTTTATAAACATTAAACTATTTACTTTTATTATTTTCTAAAGTTAGATCCTAAAATATTTTTGTATTGAGAGATGGGGTACGTGGATTCCAACAAAAAAAATCTTCCATCCAATGAAATTTAATGTAAATTAATCCTTTGATTAGGATTCACTAAAACGTGAATGAACGAATTAACATATAAACGTGTATATATATATATATATATATATATCAAAAACATAAATTAAGAATTAGGAAAAAAGGAATAAAAAGGCAAATTAATGGAAGCTTTTAAATCTGTAAAGAGCAAATAATGGCTGTGAGGGAATGAGCTGTAAAATAGTCGCGGCTTTGTGCAACAATTGCCGTTCGTGGTCGGTCCAAAGCCAAATATAATTAATTACATACATATGCTATCATATATATAAATCAAATTAATCAGAAAACCTCCTCTTAATCCCTTTTCCTAATCATGTCTATCTGTTTTCCCTTAATCGTGATTAAAGCCAAGGTCCTCCTTTTTTCTTTTGTTAATTACTCTCTCCGTTTTGACGTTTTCATTTTTTTCACATTTTTTAAAAAAACTGTAAAAAAGTCATATATATACTTATTTTAAGTTAAAATATAATTAATATTCATTATATTTATTAAAATTAATTAGTTTAATAAAGAATAAAATTAAAAATTATTATAAAAATTATTTAGAAAATCTAAAATGACAATTATTTTGAAACAAAAAATTTTGTTTATAACGTCAAATATTGAGAAAAGGCGAGAGTATTTGCTAATCATGTTTACCTACAGCTGATTTATTGTTACCAATTTCCTATAATTATTTTTAGGTTAAATGTATTATTTTTTATTTTATCATTTTTGAAATTTTTTATAAATGCGGTTTGCATTCCGTACTCGCTCTTATAGCCGTCTGATTATTCGACTACTTTGATCGGGTGGTCATAAAAGGGAGAGCACATGATTTTCGGTATGAACGATCGCAGAGGAACAAAACATGAGTTTGGATCGCCCTTTGTTTATTTGTTTAATAAGAGATTAAAAGGGCGATTAAACCAAGATTAGGAAGGTTATAAAAAGCTTAATTTAGAAATTGAAAAATCTGCACGGCTAATTTGAGATTCACACCTCCCTCTTTCTCTTTGCTCTTTTTAAAAACATAGAGCGAGGAGCGAGGGAGACGAAGAGCGAGAAGAACCATTCGATCCTTCTAAGGTGAATGATCGATTCTCTCTCTGTGTGTTTTTATTTCTTGCTCAAATTCTATTTTCGTTGAAGAATCCATGGGGATCGATTTGTTTTCGCTGTTGTCTAGTGTTTGATTTGTCCTTCTCCTTAGAAAACCTGTTTGGTATCTTATATCATCGGTGATTGGAATCGCTAATTTGAGCTCTCTCGTTCTAGCATTTCAGATCTCAGGTTCTGATTCATTTTTTCCCCGTTGTAATGCGGGGTCTGTTGAGTGATTCTGGATTTTGAGCTTAGCCTGTGTGATTCATGATTTTGAGCTTCAATGATTTCTTCTCGTCTTCCGATCTTGTTAACTGAGTTCCCTGAGCTTAGCATTTAGACCCGATACAACAATTGTCAACATAGAGAAGCTGTGGCTGTATGTTTGTCAAGATGGTTAATCGGGAATCGTTAGGTGTTTTTGATTTGGATGTTAATTTTAGTCGTGGTATGTTGATGGTGCATCAGAACTTCTTTGTGATGCATTTAACTCAGAGGTACTGATTTTCCATTTGTACGACTTGGTTAAAGATTATATGCACGTTTGATTATGCTGCAGCATTAGAAAATGGCGGAATCCGAGGACATCCAGCCTCTCGTCTGTGACAATGGAACTGGAATGGTCAAGGTAAGGATAAGAGACGCATTTAATCTGTAAAGTTTGATCAAAGAACCGAGATTAGTTTTTGGAGCACACTCAGAATGAATGATGCCACATTTCTCAGGCAGGATTTGCTGGAGACGATGCCCCAAGGGCCGTTTTCCCCAGTATTGTTGGCCGCCCTCGCCACACTGGAGTGATGGTTGGAATGGGTCAGAAGGATGCGTATGTGGGTGATGAAGCTCAATCCAAGAGGGGTATTCTTACTCTTAAATACCCGATTGAGCATGGGATTGTTAGCAACTGGGATGACATGGAGAAGATTTGGCATCACACCTTCTACAACGAGCTCCGAGTGGCTCCGGAAGAGCACCCCGTCCTTCTCACAGAAGCTCCTCTCAACCCTAAGGCCAATCGTGAGAAGATGACCCAGATCATGTTTGAGACTTTCAACACCCCTGCTATGTACGTCGCTATTCAGGCTGTTCTGTCTCTCTATGCCAGTGGTCGTACCACGGGTAAGCAGAAACGAATCCCTTACACAGCGGATGCAACTGGTTATAAACCAAACACCCTCTTTAAAGACAGCCCCTTTTTGTCTGTTGACCACCAGGTATCGTGTTGGACTCTGGAGATGGTGTAAGTCACACTGTACCCATCTACGAAGGTTACGCCCTTCCACACGCTATACTGCGATTGGACCTCGCGGGTCGTGATCTAACCGACTACCTCATGAAGATCTTGACCGAGCGAGGTTACTCCTTCACCACCACAGCCGAGCGTGAGATCGTCAGAGACATGAAGGAGAAACTCTCCTACATAGCTCTTGACTACGAGCAAGAGATCGAGACATCCAAGACAAGCTCGACAGTGGAGAAGAGCTACGAGCTGCCCGACGGTCAGGTGATAACGATCGGGGCGGAGAGATTCCGCTGCCCGGAAGTCCTGTTCCAGCCATCGTTCATAGGGATGGAAGCAGCGGGTATCCATGAGACGACTTACAACTCGATAATGAAGTGCGATGTGGACATAAGGAAGGATCTGTACGGAAACATAGTGCTGAGTGGAGGAACTACAATGTTTCCGGGAATAGCGGACAGGATGAGCAAGGAGATAACGGCGCTGGCGCCGAGCAGCATGAAGATAAAAGTGGTGGCTCCACCAGAGAGGAAGTACAGTGTCTGGATCGGAGGATCTATTCTGGCATCACTCAGCACCTTCCAACAGGTAAAACAACATAAAACGCCATTAATAGAAAAGCTTCTTTCATGTAGTGACATTACTGTCTCACAGGATGGAAAGAAATCAGAATGGTTTATTCGAGTTTCGGTTTAGAAAAATTATAACCATTCAGTTTTTTTATTGAATTCGATTTGGTTGGGTTTTATTTTGGTTCCTATTCGCATTGGGTTCGGTTTTTATTGACAAAAGTAACAAATTTTTGGTTTTTCCGCTCATTGTTATGTTATGTTCAATTCAGGTTCGTTTTTTTTGCTTTATTAAAATCATAACCATTTGGTTTTTATATCGGAATCGGTTCGATTATGGTTATATATTATTTGGTTCGATTATTCGGATATGAATCAGATTCTCCAATCTTAATGCAAATTCACCTGTTCTTTGTGCAGATGTGGATAGCCAAGGCAGAGTACGATGAATCTGGACCGTCCATTGTCCACAGGAAATGCTTCTAAGCAATGGAGAATATATATATATATACACACACACGTTTGGGTTGCTGCGACATTGGCAAATTTATCCAAAATGGACATACTGATTAAGGATGCAAACGCAAAGGCAACCGCTAGCATCAAGCTGCTGAACTCGGTAACGTATTTGCTTAAATTCAGCTGAGATTCTTTCTGGAGGGGGGGGGGTTACAAAGTTAAGGCTATTTTTCCTTTGTTATTCTTGTTCTTGAAAACATTTGAAGCAAAAATGAAAAATTGAAGAACACCAGAGAAGAAGTATTTTTGTATATTCTAAGGATATTGGTATATTATTATTATTATTATTAATATCAGTTAAATTATCCATATTAGACATGCGAATTTAACCTTGATATACACAAAACAGGGTTTATGTCAATAATCGTGAATATATATATATATATATATATATATAATCATGGGTCTATATTGTTTGTCGTTGGTTAAGAGAGAGGGTTGCGTAATGTAAAAATGAAATGAAACTGAAATGGGGAAGAAACCAATATACAGAGATATAGAGAGAGAAAAACATATGCGAAAATAAAATTCCTTTTTTTTTTTGTGGGTTGAAGAAATTGGATCGAATTGTGAATCAAATGGCATCGTTGATGAGACGCCTGTGGCTGTTGTAGTGTTTCTCGATGAAAACCCTCGAAGCTCCTTCCACAGTTCTACGCCATGTCTGCTCAATTAAGACACCGCTGAATCACGAGGGAGAAAATACACACATACATACATACATTTATAGGGAGAGAGAGAGAGAGAGAGTACCTTGCCGAGAGATCTGACGAGGGATCTGTTCTTGAGATGAGATCTTCCGTTAGCGAACTGACGGAGAAAGAGAGAACGGCGTTTAACCACCGGAGCCAGAAGCCGTTTCCTCTCCACCAAGGCGGCGGCTCCGACGCCGTCGTTGTCGTCGTCCTCAACGACGCCGTTACGTCGACAAGTAGTCTTCTTCATCCTTTTGCGCGGCTTCGTCGTCGGCTTCTCATCGTCGTCGGGATCGGCGAACTTCCGGAGCAATTCTTCCGACGATTTCCGGTTAACAATCTGCACTTTGTTCGGAACCGGTTTAGTCACAACACCAGAATCCATTTCAGACACCGACATATCGAAGAGAGAGAGAGAGAGGTTGATGTTAGAGAGATAAGAACTGGCGGTGTCGGATTTAAGAGGGGGGGGAATTGGACCGTTGGGACAAATGCGTATATACACACACACACACGTGCCGGTGCTTAGCCAATTAATAAATATAATAATAATGGGTTTATTTTTTGTGATATAATTTTAAAAAAAAAGGTGAGAAAGAGCCGTTAATGAGGAAGGAAGGTTGTATGTTTGCATGTGAGTCTGTGAAGCTATTATTCTCATTCATTGGACATATATATACACACGCTCCCCCTTTTGTCCTTTTCTTCCTCCCCTCTTGTTATTTTTTCTCCATTTTTTAACTACAAAAAAAAAAAGAGAGAGAGCAAGCATATGAGAATCTCATTTTTTTTTCATATTTTTATATGATATTTTTTTTTGTAACTTTTAAGAAGTTTATTGGACCAATGTCCAACTAATCCGAGATTCGGAACTAGCTTTTGGACAGATAAATCTATGCACTACTTTCTAATCTAAATCTTGAAATGATTTTGTCATCTATAAACCCACTAGATCGATCTGGTTTTTATATGACATTTTATAACTAGGAAACAATCCCAAGTCTTTATTTTCTTTCCTGTGAATCAGATCATGGAAGAGTAAAGAGATTCATGGTGGGTTCTTTTTTTTTTTTTTTTTTGGGGGGGGGGGGTGAAAGTCTTACCCTTTACCACAGGAGTTTGGGTAAACATGAGGGCAGCTCTCGATCAAGAAAAGGGATCTCTCTATATGTGAAAGGATAGCAAGCAGATGATCACACCATCATTAACAACTCCATGTCCCATCAGAGGACAAGAAAACCAGAAGGAAAAAAATCTTAAAAGAAAGGGTCGCTCACAAGTGTATTAGGTGCCTCCACTTCAGCGTCTTTTCCACAAACTCAAAGCTTATCCTTGGCCTCGGAGTGTACTCGTCGAGGGGTCGTCGATATTCCGACCAGAAGTCCCAAGAAATCTGCAAGGTCACCTCTTGGAGAGTTTAAATTAGTACACCCAACAGCTGTAATCGCTTAAACCAGCATTTCGCAGGTGTATATATTCCCACAAATGACATTACCAAGATCGAAGGAGTGAGTATTCTTGCATGATCTCAAGGTATTATTATAGGATGATGAACCAGAGAACAAGAGAGGCTAAAAGAAAAGAAGTGTCGTTAGTTAATGGATCAAATCTGTCGGTATGAATGCTTAGAAAGTGAATGAAGTCAGTTCGAGCATTGGTTATGTTAGCAAACCTGTTGAGGCAACGAACGGTTTGATGGGTCATTTGGGGTAGGCATTGATATCTACCGGCACTCATGCATCGATCTATGGACAATAATTGATCAATTCTCATATCCCGAGTCAAAAAAAAGTCACAAGATATCCAGCTCCTTGAAGAGTTCAGACAGCGTTGAATGATCTTTCGAGGCCAACTTCTGTGACATCAGCCACCAAATAATGTGGTTCGGCATGAACCTAAAACCTGCAGTTGATTAAACACAGAAGTTAAGAGGGTATCGAGTACCTGTCCATTAAAGTGTTTATGAGGAAATTCAACAGAACTCCCAGCAATTATGCCTTGTTCCTGTTTAAACCGATAGAATAGAGGTTATTAATGAAGAAACAATATGTGAAAACCTGAGAGTTAAAGATACGATCAATGAGATGCTGAAATTGCGGCGGATCGGATGAATGGCTCCAAATGCACAAACCCGACATAAGAAGAAGATATTTATCTTCCTCTGCAGAAGAACATTACAGTGTCCGGGAGATTGCTTATAATAAGATACTACAACAACTGAGAGATTCACTTGTTATTGTAGAGAGCCAAAGGAAGAAAATGCAGTTCTACTTACTTAGATCAAGAGGCCGCTCTACCTGAGGCGGTTAGGCCAGCTTCTGATACATTCTTCAACAAAGAACTCACCAGCACTAGTTTCCTTCCCATGTAATGTAATGCAACAACATCACCTATAACACCCGTGCTGTCATGTCAGGTAAGCAGATACTCTCAAAAACCAGCCTTTTAAGAAGATAACCACAATGATGTTGGATCCAATGATCCAAGAAGAAACCAACAAAAGTTCAAACAACTGTCTTACTTCATGAATAATAGCAGATTCTGCAAAGAAGAAAAGGTTGGATTAAAGGGAAAATTCATTTATCAGACCTGTCACAGAAGCTGCGGGTGAAAGTGTGGTGCCACCGAGCTTAACTCTCCCGCTCTCGTCTTCCAGAACCAGATGATCATCCGGGTGCTACGAGGTTTAACAAGTGGAGTAGCTGACCTCTGCATCGAGTTTAAAATCCTCAGCCAACTTGAGATTGGGCATTTCAAAACCAGAGACTGGAATGTGCCCATTGGACACAAACCAAACCTCTGTAGAGTATTCATCAAGAATAACTGTAAGGAAAAGAAAACGCAGCTCCAGACACCCAAAAAACTGAAATTTCAGCACTCAAATTCATAATCCGTATAGCTGAAGACTCCGGAAACAAGTACCAACCAGCTAAAAAATCACAGTGATTAATCTACTGCGACCTACAGACGCCAAAACCCTAAACCACAAACGCTTAAAGCCACTGCAAGGTTACCAATTTTTTCCTACCCATTGCCCAGAGTCGAAGAAAATGGTCGAAAGTGGTCTCCTTTTCACAATCAGAGATAAGATCGAGATGGGAGGAAGCTAACGGAGACGTACCAGGCAAATGGGGATTCCAATCGGGAAAAAGGGAGAGGAGAAGTTTTCTCATCAAGTGCAAACGAGCAAAGTAGATTGGTTGTATGTATTGCTGCCTCTATACATCTCCTTTTGTACCTATTATCTCTCTCATCCTGCTTCAAATTTTTTTTTAAAAAAAAAACTTGAACCAGATTACAAACCCTAGTGCACAGGAACACGACGAAATGCCGAAAATCCCATCTTTTTTACTCGCTGCGATGGGGGATGGAACGTAAAAACTTAAGGGAGTGAGAAAAACAAAACATGGGTTCTAACCAGAGACTGAAAAGAGGATTGCTTCCTGTGGAGGATTTTCTCGGAGTCGATTTCTATGGAGTCCATGGCGGGAAAACCAGTGGAAGTAGGAGCTCTAACCCTCTCTTCTCCTCCGGTCGAATTCATGGAGGGTAATTGTGTTAGAGGTGACCTGATCGAAACTATATGGATTCAAATATTATTTTTCATTTTCTAACTTTTCATTTTCATTTTCATTTTCATTTTCATTTTCACTTTCACTTTCACTTTCACTTTCTCTCCAAACAAACATGTGAGAGAAAATACCGGAAAATATATATATTTTTTTCCGGAAGTCAATTAAACGTGATTGGGTTCAGCTCAGGAAAAACAAAAAAAAAAAAAAAAACTGGAAGGGAAGAACAAGAGGCCCCTGTCTTCCACCTACTACTCTTCCTGAGATTTCTACGCAGGAAATTCACAATCTTTCATTTTTTTTATTTGCGTCTGTCTCTATCTTCTTCTTCCATGGCTTTGCTACAGGGGTCGGTTTCAGGGACTTCGGCGGTTCGATTGGGATTCTCATCCTCGGCGCCGTCGTCGTCTTCTACATGTCCGGCTAGGGTTTCTTTCGGCATCCCGGCAGAGAAGGGTCGGAGGAGGTCATGCCGGAGATGGACTTTCCGAGCAATGGTGCAGCAAGCCGTGCCAGGGACTCCATCTGTCTACGCCAAGGAAATGGAACGCCTTTCTGCCAAGGAATCGCTGCTTCTCGCCGTAAATTCCTCGTTCCTCCCTCTTTGGGCTTCAATTTCTTCGTCATTGTGATTGTTTGGGTCTCAATTCTTTCCGTTGAGCTTGAAATTCAGTCTCATGCCTTGCTCCATATGTTGTTTGGCTGCTGAGAAAATGGGGGGAATTATTGCTTATTGTCCCAATACTTTTTTACCCTGCTTTGATTTTCTTACAAGTCGTTTACGGATTCCATTTGTGGCGTTGAGCTGTTGAATTCCTTCAATTTTGACACTTTTAGGTGAAAGGCTCTCTTTTTTTTTCCTTTCACCTTCAGAATTAGATGCATTCATTTGTGGTACTGAGCTGTTGAATTCCTTCAATTCTGATACTTTTATGTTGAAATGTTTTCCTGCTCGAGTTCTAAAGCTGGATCTTGCTATACAGTTCAAGGATGCCGGAGGATTTGAGGCTTTAGTTACAGGGAAAACAACCGATGTGCAAAGGATCGATGTGCACGAGAGGATCACGGGTCTTGAGCGGCTCAACCCGACTCCCCGGCCAACCACGTAGTTGCTTCTTTCTCTGTGATGTGATCAGTCCCTTGTCTTATGATTCTGTGTGTTTAGGACAATTCCTTTAATCGGATTCTATAGCTTTCCAGGTCTCCCTATCTCGAAGGCAGATGGAAATTTGAGTGGTTTGGGTCCGGCAGTCCTGGTTTATTTGCTGCCCGGGTTATATTTGAGTCAGTTCTCATCGTCCATATCCATTATAAAAACCCGATTGGAGAAGCAATGATTCGATGTCTGAAGTTACAAAATGATTCTATATGTCGTCTTGTGGCAGGAGATTTCCTTCGACATTGGCAAATTTATCCAAAATGGACATACTGATTAAGGATGCAAACGCAAAGGCAACCGCTAGCATCAAGCTGCTGAACTCGGTAACGTATTTGCTTAAATTCAGCTGAGATTCTTTCTGGACTCAGATCTGTATATAAAGAACCGTTCCCCCTCTTGTTGTAAAAGCATTAGCACAAGTGGTGAAGAGACTGTCTTTGGCTAAAAATTGCAGATAGAAAGCAACATCATCCTGACATCGAAATTATCTGTTGAGGGTCCTCTCAGAATGAAAGAAGAATATGTGGAAGGAATGCTCGAGTCTCCAACCGTCGTTGAAGAAGCAGTGCCGGAACAGCTGAGAGGTTTATTGGGTCAAGCCACCTCGACGGTGCAGCAGCTTCCTGCTCTTATCCGAGATACTTTAGCCAGTGGTCTAAGAATTCCCCTCGGTGAGCAGCTTTTCCTTGATCATTTCGTATTACCGTTACCCTCGGAATGAATATGTCTGGCATCGTTTTTACGGTCTTCCACCTCACATTTCGGACTGAAACCTTCCAGCTTTGTCGGGTTCAGGTGGATCCTTCCAGAGATTCTTCATGATATCTTATCTAGACGACGAGATCCTTGTAAGTGCTGAACTCGAGCTCGGATTCACCATATCACCAAATCTAATCTGACATTTGTTTTTTTTTTTCCGTTTTCGACAGATCATAAGAGATACTGCCGGAGTGCCTGAAGTTCTGACGAGGTTGGAAACAGCATCGTCGAGTTCTGTAGAGCCTCTTGAATACGACAGCTAGGGCATGCATTGCATCGCTCCTCTTCTTCTTCTTCTTCGTTACAAGACCGACAATCTGGATTGGTGTCTGTAAAAATTCGAAGAGAATTTACCATGTTCGAGGCCCAGTTTCAAAGTTGATTCCAAAATAAGTTCACTACACTCCCGTCATATATTATATTAAATATAACGTGTTATTATATTATATTAATAATATTAAACAAGCAATAAGCAAATTCCTTTGGCTTTGTCTGTATTTGTTGAGGTGGCGTTTTCCTATGTGTTATTGTCTGTGGATATTTGTTGTGTTTTGTATACATCTCATATGGAATACAGCTTCAAAAATACATAAATCATTTTCTTTACAAACATTAGAAATTGGAATAACAAAAGCGAGAAACAAAAGAGGAGTAACAAAAGTGTGTTTCATTTTATTTATATTTGGGAAAATAACATATAAATACCTAAATTTTTATTATGAAAATCTCATATAAATACCTGAATTATAAAATTTCTATATAAATATCTAAAATTTTAAAAATTCTATATAAATATCTAGATTTTTGAAAACTTTTCTAAATAAATACAAATTTCAGATATTTTTCAAATAAAAATAGATGCTGTGATTAACAGATTTTAGATTTATTTGAGAGTTTATCAGAATTTAGGTATTTATATAGAATTTTAGAAAAGTTCAGATATTTATATAGAAATTTTATAGTTGAAATTTTCGTAAAAGTTAGGTATTTATATGATATTTTTCTATTATATTTTAATTTCTTTTTCAGTTTTGAGGGGAAAGAATGGTATATATATATATATATATATATATTCCTGTCCATTGAAAAATAGAATAAAAAAAAAGAAGAAGAAGAAAAGAGGCCCTTATAATTTGGGGGCATATAAATAGTCTTATAAATGATGTTTAAAGCTGGGAATTATCAAGGTTTTTAATCCAAAATGACATAATTTTGAGAAATCATCATTTTAAAATTTCATGTTTTAGACATTTTTTTTCCCAGTAGTTTTGTTTTCGGATTTTCTTTATTAAAAAATTATAACAAAATGTCTAAAAAACTTTTAAGATATTTTTTTCAGAGCATTATTTTATTTCTTTCTGTATGCTGGTTATTTTTTACACCCACATATATATATATATATATATATATATATATGTATGGTGAAAGTTCTCATAGAGTTTCCTCTCGCATTTCTTGTACATTCCAAGTAAAGAGAAATCATGACATTTCTGATATTTAAATTTTAATTGTGGGACTAAAATCCAAATAATGCTCACGGTAACCAAGCAGATAATGCACTATGAATGCCAATCGCACCATGGATCATACATACATACATACATACATACATACATACATACATACATACATACATACATACATACATACATACATACATACATACATACATACATACATACATACAAAGAGAATAATTTTCCTCTTCGTGTCGATTTTCATCCAAAATAATTGCAAAGAGAAGTAGAAACAAATTAGTTTATACATGTATTTAACACAAACGAGATCAATTAGCCAATAAGGTCAAACCATCCAACCAAAAAAATTAACTGGCCTCCGAGAAACAAAAAAAAAAGGAAAAGCTAATTCCAATCATGCAGATTGCCGAGGGTCTGGGAAGAAGATGAAGAAGATGAAGCAGAAGAAGCTGCTGCATGATCCATGGCCAGGGGTAAAAAGGGAAATTCACCCAGTTCTTGAATGATGCCGTCCAAATCTCCCAAGCCGTTCAAGAACCCTCCCGAGCTCTCCCCATCACCATTCCATCCTTCGTCTTCTACTCCTGCGTTCGCGCGAAACGCGAGTTCGAAGCCTGTTTTCTTGGCGGTGAAGGAGAGATTTTTGTTCATGTCGTGGACTCGATGACGACGACGATGATCTCTAGGGTTTTCCCTTGGACGACCCTTTTGATGATCTTGGAGATGGCGATGGTTGTCGGAGTCGTCTGGCTTTCCGGTGAGTCTTTGGACGAGTTCCCGGAAGTTGGCGACGTCGGTCTTGATGATCTCTGGAGCAAATATGTGAATTATTCGTATTTTGGGCTTCGATTTCGAAATTGTTCTTGAATGTTTGTGCATGACCAGGGTTGAACTTCTTCCTCCGTCGATGGCCTCCATGTCAAATCTAGGGTTTATACGAGAGAGAGAGAGAGAGAGAGAGAGAGAGAGAGAGGGTGGATTTGATGTGAGAAAGGGTTTGATAAGGTTATATATAGAAGAGGAAGTGATATGCAAATGTCTTGTTTTGCTCAAGTTTTGGTTTTTTTTTTTTTAATTCATGAGAAGGATGCTTTATATATAGGTTAATTGTATTTGTCTCGTAGATAAAATATCATACAAGTAAATTGACTGGAAGTTTGTTGATAATTATAACAATTTTATGAATATGGAGACCTCACCATGGACCCTCCTACTAACCAAATCGTCATGTTGGAATTTCTTTAATATCTCATATTATTTTTATGCGTATCACACACACACACACATATATATATATATATATATATATATATATATATACATTATTAAATTTGTAATTAGAAGAACGATATCAAGATATATGATTTGTAACTACTTAATACAGTAGTTTTGCACATTCAGATTACATCAACGTTCAAAAATAAAATTAATAACACTTGTTTTATATATATCATCGATTAATGTTTTACACTATTGTTAATTCATAAAAATTAAAAAAGATATACTGTATCTAGATTAATGAGATGATTTCAAAATTAATATCGTCATTACTATTTATATGGGAATACTAGTTACATATTTCTAATATGGTAGTAGATATATAACACAAACGATTAGAGCGATGTGTAAGATGAATTAAATATGTGAAATTTAGAATAATTTCGGTTAGAAAAATGCAGAACATTGGTGAACGATTATGTTCCTAAGTTTTGCGATCTCTTTGATGAACGATTATGTTAACATTTGCTTACACACACATATTATACAGATACATATACACACACACATATATATATATATATATGTGTGTGTGTGTAGCAGTTGATAGATATTTATATGGCTATAATGAGAAGGGGAAACATGGGTAAATAATTGCAATAAGGTCAATATGAAACCGTAGAGGGACATCATATAAGAGCACATGGATGGCATGTCTCCATCTTGACTCCCACTTACCCTTACATTATATATATATATATATATATATATATATATATATCCCATGTCCTTGTTGTGCAACCACACGATGAGAGGCAGTTGCAATTCGTCACGACGTATTTTTGCCTTTATTTTCTTTTCAATGTTTCACAAAACACGTTGTTTAACGAATAATCCTACAACCTAACCTTTTTATAGTTTTATTTAATGAACCAATATATATGTTGGTGGATCATACAACATGCTAAAATACAAACGATTTCTTTCTACGAATAGTACAACTTTGCTTGCGTATATATATATATATACACATATATACTATGGTTAAAAGACAAAATTATACAATATCTCTGTATATTCGTGTGTACCTGTATAAGAATCTTTTCATAGACACAAGTTGGTATATGATTAAATTATTGGGATATTTTATAACAGTTTTATATTGTTTTGCATAAATGACGTGGTGGCCCCGTCTATCCTTCATGTTGCCTCGGCACAATTCAAGGGACGATGCAATATGTGCTAGTTGGTTTGTATTGTAATAGAACCTACATGCGGTCTTTAAATGGCATTGGTCGTATAATTAATACATGTAGCATATTGGCAATATTTATATTCAATAATATTCAACCGTGACGGGGAATATACCGATTGACATATATCTGTATGACAACTATATATGGAGAAAAAAAAATAAGTGGAGACAACTAGCATGCATCTATCCTATTTGTTAAATAAAATTGTCTTAATGAACCGTTGGTGATGTGATGTATTATTATATGTGTGTATATACGACATACATTATATTTAATTTATTTTATTCCAAAATCTAAAATAAAAAAGTTACCCCTGAAAAATGCGTAATTAATTCGATTGTTTGGGCAAAATATACAATATTAGGATATCCACAAGATCCGACGTATGGTAGCCGTCGGATGTACACGTGAAGAGCTGAGATAAGATCTAGATCCAACGGTCAGAAAAATCTACAGAAACTCAACTGAAAAGGATTTGGTGTCTGTACGGCTAGCGTCAGACGAAACACGAGTCTCGTATGTGCCATCTATGAACCGCTAGATGTTCGACACGTGTCATCACTACGTGAACCTCGAAATCTCCTGACGTGGTTCCCAATCCCCCAAACTTATGCTGCTTCATAGCTGGAATTAATCATATGTTTGAATCTTTTGTCTTTTATTATATTATATAACAATTTCATTTTTAAATATTGAGTTCTTATAGGGATAGACACGGATCCAATATCGAGATTTTTGAGACATCTGTATATGTATTCGATCTACACAAATATTCGATTTTGTTATCCGATCCGTAAATTTTGAATATCCGTAATTTCGGATATCCGTACAAATTATTGATATTTGCAAATATCTGTATCTGAACTACAATGTTATAAAAAATTAAAGTAAAATTAAATAATAAACTCAAATGCATATAAAATATAAAAAATATTTAAAATAAATGATATTTACAATTTAAAATCCATAATTTAAATATTTCAAACCAATTGAAATACAAATACAATCATAATTTATCACATACAAATGCAAAGATCAAAATTTAAAATATTAAACATAATAAATCTTAATATTCAAAAGATTAAACATTCTAAACTTCAATATCTATACAATATTTTTTCGGATATTTTGACCATCTCTGCTTATGATAACAGTAGTGTTATAATTATTTTATTTTACATTTCATTATTTGATGAAATCGAATATTTGTTACCTTGGCCTCGCTTCCACATCATTTTTTATTTTCGAAATGCTACAAGCTGTAACAGAAGTGGGAACGGAAATAAATAAATAAATAAATAAATAAATATATATATTCTACAGTACTATCCAAACCATTTTTTAGAGTATAAAAGTATCGTGAATTTAATTTCTACATGTACCTAATTACGCTCGTCATTTCTTAGAATGCATCATATTTGTTTTAGAGTGTTAGGAGATCAACAAAAATATGGTTTTGTTTTAATGGAAAATAGAGAATCCACCGAAAAAAAGGAGATTTTGAATGGGGTTTTTAACCCTAATAACCCACTTGGGTCGCAGCAATTTCAGGGTACACCACCCGAAAAAAAAAAAAATTTTGCGACCTTATTACGACTAATATATAACTAATATACAACTAAAATAAGAGTAGTTTATTAGTCGTAATAAGTTGTATATTAGTCGTAATAAGGTCGCAAAATTTTTTTTTTTTTTCGGTGGTGTACACTGAAATTGCTGCGACCCAAGTGGGTTATTTGAGTAATATTCCCTTTTGAATGTGTGGGAACGGATAATGTGACTGCAGATCTAATAAAAATGTCAAATATACACCTTCGTGTGTCCGGATCTCATCGTTTTTCAAAGCCTCGTGCGTTGTGGATTAGGTGGAAACGTATTCACATCAGACAATTACTGTAATTATAATAATAATTATTATTAATCACCCACTAATCGAAAGAAAGAAAAGTTCCTCTTTATGATTTGGAAGATTCTAATTCTTGACTTGCTGATCAAATCTAATGTTCTATAAACGATCTCCACAAGTTACCGGTTCCTGATTCGGACAAAAAAAAAAAATTGCATAACATCGCCGGAGTTGTTGGAACTAAAAAAACACATTTCACGGTACACATATATACCCATATATGTATTGGATGAACGCATGATTGAGCCCCCCTTGTTAATGTGCCGTCGAGATTCACCAACCTAATTATCATTCATATATTGAAGTGTGCCAAAAATAAGGCCTTTCATGAACCATCATGATCTTATCCTTTATGCCCTCAAGACCCTTGTAATGAAATCATATAACCTAAAATACACTCAAGCCTTTACCTGTGAATATGAAACCCATTAAAGATCTTTGCCAAAACTATCACAGTTACCTCTTCACGGTTCCAAGCCGCTTCCGAAGTTCGGATTCACCGTGAGCGAAGTGGCATCGCTCCCCGAAGGAGCAGGCCCCCTTGGCGAAGTTTTTGCACATCTTTGCCTTGAAATTCCTTTCAGGCCAAGCTCGAGCACTTATAAGCTCTTTCACCATTGCACTCGCTTCTGAAATCTGTTCAAACGTGCCTTTGAGCTCTACGTTCTTCAGAGTTGGGTCTCTGTCGTGATCCCGAACACGTAGCTTCACACCTGTTCCTCGACATATCAGACAGGAGTTCATGCCACCCTTCCCTATAACGATTCCAGCTAATGATGCTTCTATACTGATCTTCGTAGTGGCAGAAGCTCCGAAACCGGAAGCAGGTCCTGCAGGTGGTTTCGCATCCATTCTACGGGGAAGGCGCTCACCTGTCAGTTGCCGTTCACCATGAGAAAAGCGGCATTTATTGCCATATTTACATCCTTCAGCAGTGTTATAATTGGCGCACATGCGGGTTTTCGTCCTGGGAGTCGAGCTATCTGCAATGGAGGCTGTGGTCGCCGTTTTTCTCACTGGAGAGATGGACGGACTGAGATTCATCATCTGGGCCACAGCATCATAACCACCATGAATGTCATGCTGGAAGTGGCAGTTCTCGCCCAATGGACACCCAACAGTGCTGCAGAAAACCGTAAAAGGAGAATAAGATCATCGAACCACAGCCCAAGTGAACCAATAAACCATCATTAGTGAAAAGTCCAAACCAAATGCCAATACGGTTCTACAAATAGGCATAGAAATCTCCCAAAAAATCGGTAAACCGCCTCTATCAAAGGGCCCGGGGTCATGTGAAACTCTTAGTTAGACCTCTCAATCTTTTCCATAAAAGCCATTTGTATCTTACAATCAAAGAAAATTTGTGCTTAACCAGATTTATCACAAACTTCATTACGAAGGATTATTAACCAGATTTATCGAAACAGTGTGCATACCTGCATGGCAGCCTCAACAAACCACTTAATTAGTGATTCAAACTAGGAAGCGGATTAGGTTATAACCTGAAAAACTTGGTGCATGGCTTCAAATTGCTTCTTACACCGTCTGATAAAGATTCCGGTTCTGTTTGCAGGACATTATAATCGTGTTTCTTTGGTTAAACATTTATCTGAAACTTTGAACGATTCCACCAAAGATTTAGACAGCAAATTCGGTAACAAGGGATAATACAAATCAACGCAAACAATGCTAAAAGGACGATGAGAGCAGAAACGCAAGAACTGAACATCGATTCTCAATACCCACTCCAAATCTCTCCCCAGAAACGCACAGCCACAATAAATTCAGAGACTCGAGGAAAGAGAAATAACAAACCTTGCTTAGTCTTCTTGAGGGATACGCCATGGGAGCTGAGCTCGTTCTCGCCGTTATCTCTCTTGCGATCGTTCATCTCTTTATGCGTGTATAAACCCAACACGAAAAGCCGCGGATCTCGAAAAGCCCTAAATTCGTCTAAGCAAAAAACCCTAACTTAGCTCCGAAGCGAGAGAGAAGAAGCGGAGAGTTCTAAATTCCAATTCTAAAGGAAACATTCCCGATCCTTGCTCGTGCAAGATTCAGTTAATATATGCCGCTCCCCGCACGTGGGCACTATGGCGGCAACGTTCAAGATGACGTCATCATGGTTGAGGCACGTGCGAGAGTGATAGGTTATGGGTTTTGTATTTATTTGGACTCGTGGGCCTCTTCGGCCCGGTTTTCATTCTCTCTTTCTATAAACGTATAACGGTTACCATTAGTCCATTATTAACTCCGATTTGAAATTTTTTGGCGAAATATTTTGAATTTTAAAAACAAACAGCATAGGATTTTTTCCATCTTTCAATTTTAGATCAACAACACAGGTTAATCCACCTAGCTTACCTTTTCGACCTGCAACTTCCACTAAATTACGGGATATACCACTATATACCCGGAATTTTCTATATAATTCAAGGGCAAAACCGTAACAACAATACCCGCTCCGCTCCTCAGCAAGGCTGTCATGTCATGTCCTGCCAGAATTTAGCGGAATCTCCGCTCGAAATGTTACAAAATCCCTAATTTCAAAAAGCCACCAAATGATAAATTAAAAAAAATAATTGAAGCTTCACTTCACTTCCATAAGTCTCCACTTGAAATTCATCAGATTCCTCGAATTTTCTATCATTTTCTCATCCTTTTGTCTTCTGGGTGTTGGAGAAGAAGATGAAGGCGTCGTTGAAGTTCCGGGAGGAGCAGAAGCCTCTGTTTAGGGTGAAAGTTCCTCTGAGCATCTTGGGATTGCCATTTCAATCTGGGATTGTCGCCGGAGAATCCAAGGAGCTTAGCCTGAATCTCTCCACCTTCTTCGAATCTGGACCTGCCCTCAAAATCGCGTATCGTCCCAACGATACATGGAACCCCTTCTCTCTCATCGTCAAGACCGGAACGGGTTCGTTCGGTTCGCCGATCTCGAGCTCCATGCTCATGAGCGCCGAGTTTAATCTTCTGGGCAAGGGGAACCCTAGCTTTATGCTCCATTTCAAGCCCCAGTTCGGCGATTTCTCCTTCAAGAAATCGCACTCTTCTTCCGTCTTCGATCGTAGTTTTCTCAAATCCATGAATGGGTCCGTGTCGGAGGAGGATTCGTCGATCGAGGTGGTGGATGCCCCCCCGGCCAACGGATGCGGCGGAGGATTCAAAAAGGTCACGGTTTTGCCATCCACGACCGCTGGAGACATCGCCGAGCTGCTCTCTGGCGTGGAGGTCGCTGCAAGGACGTCGCTTCCGGTGAGAGGACGCGCCGTCGTGAATTTCAGGTGGGGAATTAGGGTTCCCGCGGAGATCAGGCACGATGCTGATCCAATGGCTGGGATTTCTCTGCGGAGGTTTCCTTTCCTGGTGATGAACAAAATAGGAATCGAGCACGTTGATGGCCCACACACCAAAGGAGGCAGACCCGCCAACGACCCGGGTAAGACCTCGGTTCAGAGTCAGGGTCTGCATGGTGCTGACGTAGCGGAGGCGTGTTTGGCCGTGAAACGGCAACTAGAGGCGCTGCAATCGGAGAACGGGCAGCTAAAGAGAGCCGTGGAGGATCTCCGGCGAGAATTGTCGAATGATCGACCATTTTCTCCGGTGGCGATGGATTTCGGGTCGTCGAAGTACAGGGAAGCGGAGAGGAGCAACGGGAAATCGCGGGTTGATCGGAGGAACAACGAGAAGACGATGTCAGAATATGGCGGGAACGGGAAGAAGAATCCGGCGGAGAGCGACGTGACGGAGGAGCTGAAGAAAGCGTTAAAGGGAACCGCTTGAAGCCCCTTCCTCCATTGTTGCAGTGTTTGAGCTAAGTTTTCATCGAATTCTTCACTTTGTTTGAAGCACTCTATAATATTTCTCATAGATTCTGCATTTGCAGGATTCGCAATGGCTTTGTACATAAATGTCAGAAAATTCTGGTTCCTGAAAATCTAAGCAAAATCAGTGGAAATTTACAGTGTTGGGCGAAATTGTGATTGAGGATTTTGATTTGGATAATTGACAATAAGGGTATCATTGATGAACTGGAATCAGACCACTGGGCCTAGTTTGTGTAATGGTAAATTAAGCTTATTAACATGGAATCTTGGCCTTATATGACAACCAATCTTTTCTCCATTTCACTCTGAATTCTTGGGGGCTACCGCAGCTATGTACGTTAGGAGTGAATATGGATCGGATATCCGAGTTTTTCGTTATATCCGATTGCGATATTGTTTACTCGGGTTTTTTCTTTTGGCATGTTGTTCTTCGGTTTCGACCTCTTGGACTCGGTATCCTAAATTCGGTCATGCGTCAGATGTGGGGAAGGTTCGGATACTCGCATGTGTAATATGACTGGCGAGACAAGTGTGAGAGGGTGAGGGTCCTAAGGTAGGTGATGAATAGAGACAAGAGACCGAGACTCAAGAGAGGAGGTGAGGCGACGAAATGAGAGAGTCAAGACGGAGGAGAGGACGAGAGAGACGTAACTGATTCGAAGAGAGCAATGACTTGGCCCGAGGCCGAGATTTCTGCCGCGACTATCATCCCCTTCACGGATTGGGTCGGGTTTCTCATAGTTACTCATAAAACTACCCGGGCACTATGGCGGCAACGTTCAAGATGACGTCATCATGGTTGAGGCACGTGCGAGAGTGATAGGTTATGGGGTTTGTATTTATTTGGACTCGTGGG